CACGACCGGAAGGAGCGGAAGCAGTCGACTGTGGCATAATAAAAGCTCCGCTGCTTTGAGCCATGTGTCGCGCTCGTTCAGTGGCCTCGTTTCGCTTCGACGGCTTTCAGTCTCACCCTGCTTCATTCTACTACGTTACCAAATCATTAGCTCATCCGTGAACATGATTTCTGCCCGAGTCCCGTCGGATTGCTTCGGCTGTGGGGATGAAGACTCCCATGATTACACACTCAGTCACGGCGTCATCAAACTACGCCTTTGTCTTATTTGTTTATTTTGAAAACGCGCCCTCTAGCGGCGAAAATTACATATTGTGCCTCTAAGTAATTATTAAATCATTTGAATTATTTGGGCTACCATATGTGAGTAACTACATTTTTATATACTACTACTACTTTAATATTTCCTTTCTTTAAAATTAGTGAATGTTACAAAATAAAAGTGAATGTTACAAAAACATGTTCAGCACCACAAATTAAAATGGAATATTTATTTTGCATATAGAAAATATTTTTAACACCACTGAAATTTGTTCTTTTGATATTTTGGTAGTAATTCTCATTAGATTTATTGCTATATATTATATTATTGTTTGACCTTATTGTTGAACTAATGTGACATTATTCATTCATATGTGTTCAGATGAGTCAAGATGAGCAGGACCCGCGAGAGGAGCAGAAAAAGAAGAAGGAGGGTTTGTTCCAGCGCACGGGCCGATTTAGACGCAGCACCTCTCCACCCAGCCGCACACTGTCACTCTCCCTGTCCCACAACCGCCATCACGACTCCATCCTGCCCAGCATGGACCCGTCTCCTTCCGTTACCCTCCTCTCTTTGTCCTCCCTCTCTGACTGCAACTCCACCAAGTCCCTGTTGCCCTCTGATCCTGATGACTTTGCCCCGACCCCTAGTAGTGCTCACCCGGTGGTCTCTCCTGCGCCGTCATTAAACCCTCTGTTGGACCTGAGAGCAGAGAGCTTCAAACGAGAGCCCAATCAGTCCCTCACACCCACCCACGTCTCTGCAACTATGGCATTAAACCGTGGGCACCGCCGCACGCCCTCTGATGGGGCCATCCGTCCTCGAGCACAGACAGTCGTGGGGCATCGACGCACCCCCTCTGATGGGAGCATACCCTTCCCCCCTGCATCAGCCCCGAACATTACACCATATACAGGTACAACATTTTACTTTAAATACTAGCTATGTGTTATTGGGTGAATCTCTGTCAAAACATTTACATTAACATTTAATTGTAAAATTACATGTTTTATTTTGCATAAAGTATAACAGTTACTTCCATGATGTGTAAGTACTATGCAAAAATTATAAAATATTATATAAAATAGATATTTATTTAGAGGAATGTGTACATAAAGACAATATTTTAGAACCAATTTTAGATTTGGTTTTGAACTTCAGATTTATTTGAACTTCTTTTGTAATTCCCATTAATCTTATACATATATATATACACTCACTGGCCACTTTATTAGGTACAGCTTGCTAGTACCGGGTTGGACCCCCTTTTGCCTTCAGAACTGCCTTAATTCTTCGTGGCATAGATTCAACAAGGTGTTGGAAACATTAGAGATGGTTGTGCGTGAAAATGCCAGTGGATCCGCAGTTTTTGAAATACTCAGACCAGCCCATCTGGCGCCAACAACCATTCCACGTTCAAAGTCACTTAAATCCCCTTTCTTCCCCATTCTGATGCTCGGTTTGCACTTCAGCAAGTCGTCTTCACCACATCTAGATGCCTAAATGCTTTGAGTTGCTGCCATGTGATTGGCTGATTAGCAATTTGTGTTACCAAGCAATTGAACAGGTGTACCTAATAAAGTGGCCGGTGAGTGTATATACTCAGTGGCGAGCTGTGACCTTTTTACCGGGTATGCTGAGTGATAAGATTAAGCCCCCCTCCTCATCGCTTAAGACACTCAAAGAGGAAAACACCGTGGCAGGTGTCGATTTAAAAGTATGCACATTCCTACTTTATTTGTAAATGGAATTCATCTCCAATCCTTCTTCTATAGTTTCAGGTAGTTATTCGAATGCTAGAAAACAGCTGCTTTTCCGAGTAAAAACCGCCAAATAACATAGTTACTTTATGATACTTAATATTCAGAGGGTGGGGAGATGGGGGATTCCCCCGCACTATATGTCTCTGCATGGACTGAATGATTTTTTGGTTTTATTTATTTATTTATTTATTCATTCATTCATTTTTATTCCCAGTGAATAGGAGTTAAAACTCCCACCCGGGTGACACTACTCCAATATTAGACCATGCAAAATACCAACAAAAAAAAAGCTTTTTAATTAAATAAATAAACAAAATAATAATAATAATATCTTTAAAATATTGCCAAGTAACGTTGCAAACAACAATAAAAATCAGAAAAGGACTTTAATGGTAAGCGACACAAGTATATGGAAAATATATAGTTATGATGGTTTTTTTTCATATGATTTAGTCGAGTTTCGGCAGTCGAGATCTGGCAGCAACAGCGCATTTTTCCGCTTGGGTGAGCGCTTTGCGGACAGTTTACCTCGCGCATGAAATCACCCGCAGACCAGCAAACCACTGAGAACGCGCTATAAGCCTGACGAGTCATAGCAACAAAGCAGAGCGAGAAAGCTGCGGAGAATCCGCTCGCCCGGAAGCAACCGCAACTGACTTAGATTTACAGAAAATTACCGTTGTTTTCAAATAAATAATTTTACATGCTTATTCCCAACACTTTATTAAGCTTTAAGTCACATCTCAAATGACAAGGGGTCAACTTATAATTATGTTTATATTAATTAACCCGTGAACTCATTCTCTCAGACGGCCTGGGTATGCGGCGCATTCCCAGCTTATATGGACGGAACGCCACTGATATATATATATATATATATAAACACTATAATATGTTGCTTAAAATATTTAAACAGTTGTTATGTTATTTGTTTCATTTTACATTAATGAGAATGATTTTTTTGCAGTGGTTATATAGCCTAACATTTTTTAAAAAGGCAATATTTTAAAATGACTAATATTTGTCTTAACTTTTTTGTGATTCCCATTATACTCAGTAGTGATTGTCATTACTGTAAAACAATATTTTACTGATGTATATTACAGTAGATATAATATTTAATACAGTATATATTTATTATATCCCTTTTTTGAACCACTTTTCAAAAAACTTTGAATTTATGAACCACTTTTTTGGCGCATGCGTTGGCTGCGACGGCACGGTCGGTGCGTTTGTTTGTTTGAGTGTTGATTAATTTTTGCTTTTTATGTTAATGCGGAGAGTGTACTGCGGCTGAAACACCATGGGGAATTTGACAAATTGGATTTTGACTATTCTTATCATAACATGGATCATTGACTGCGCTGTCTGGAGTATCCAGTTAAATGATGTCGGTGCGGGGCATGGACTACTACTTCTGTCTCTTCGTGGTTCTATCTATTGTCAACTGAACCCATCTATCCTCATCCCGCCTGACATGACAGTAACACCGGGCTTAAAGAGGAAGAGCGGTAGGCGAGGAGGGGTGCGCTGTAGACTCAGAAGGCGTCCGTTTAAACCTCCACTACCTTCAATTATTCTCTCAAATGTTCGTTCATTGAAAAATAAAATGGACTTGTTACATGCTAAATGTCTCACGGATGCATCGTTTAGGGAAGCATGTGTTTTGGCTTTGACTGAGTCCTGGCTGGATGAGTCTGTCACGGATACGGAGGTTGCCCTGGATGGCTTTGAGATCCTTCGGGCAGACAGAACTAGTAACTCGGGGAAAGTGCGGGGAGGTGGGGTGTGTATGTACATCAACTCGCGTTGGTGTACTAACATCAAAGTACATGGGAGGATTTGTAATCCGGTCTTGGAGCTGCTCACCCTGTCCGCCCGTGCCTTTTATCTCCCAAAGGAGTTTTCGACAGTTGTGCTTAGCTCCCAACAAACACAGAGAGTTCCCATTAGGTTCCCATTTGGTTATATTTTTGGGAACCAAATAAGAACGTTACAACTTTATAGCTGAAATTAAGCCAAGGTTAAGTGTAGTCTGAAAAGCAGATCATAAACACTGGGTTTGTTTGTATCTTTCTTTACTGCGCGCCTCTGATCTGAACGCGCTGCTCCAGCACGCGCTTTTCTCCTGTCTTCCACATAAAGCCGCGCGCACACGCATTATTTTAAAATCAACGGTCGTTTTACTGACTGACTAACATTCGTTTATTGATCTCTTTATTGAATAAATACAAAATTGCAAAAAATGTCCCAGATTACCCGAATTCACCCTATAAGTAATATATACAAGAGTAAATATGGTGATTTCAGAGATATTCGATACGTCTAATTGAAGAGAACATGCTAAAGTTTTTTTCTTAAAGGCAAAAACAAAACAAAAGATAAGCATTTATCCTTATAGAGAATGAGAAGTAACCATGGGAACGGATAGCGTATCCTGCTAATATGGCGGCGTCTTCCCGAAATGCAATGCGGAGTGAAAAGATCGTGACGTAACTCCTCATTCTCTATTGAGATCCATATCCGTCCGTCTTCCAGGCCGCTTACTCTACCGGACGCGGGAGTGCTGGATGATTACCAGTGTTGCCAGACGTACGATAATTATCGTATTTGTACCATAAATTTGACCTCTGAACGATGTACGATCAATAATGAAAAAAATCCCATAATGTTCGATAATTTTATGACAATTCAAATGATGGTAGTTTACCGTGATATATCGCATTACCGAATACCGGCACAAGTCTATGTAGTTGTAGTCATAGGGCTTCTATATTCATACAAATCGGCTCATTACAGACACTCTAAATGCGCTCGTGCACACCTCAGAGTGTGTTAAGAATGCAGGAGGGTGCCCTGCTTTAAAGCCAACAAGCACTATGTTGCAGTCCATGACGGCAAGAACCCCCTCAATATCTGGCAACACACAGGCTTCCGATGACAGCGGCTCAGATGTGGAGTTAACAGCTAAAGTCTGTCTACACTGGACGCGACAAAGTGAGTGCTAAAAATAATTTTAATACGTCATAAATAGAACGAGGCATCAGTTTAATGTCGGGGATGTGTCGTGTCATGTCGCATCCAGTGCAAACAGTCACTGATTATAATGGTTTCTATAGTATTTTGTTGCACTGCTCGCGTCCAATGTAAACACGGTACGCCTAGTTATCTATTGTGGCAATTTGCAGGTCGTGTCAAAAAGTTGTTGGTTTAGATATAGCTGTATTCTGTACGTTTGACTCGTGTACGATAATTTTCTTCCAAATACGATCATTTTGAGCTTCTGGTACGATACGATACTTGGAGATTTCCAATCTGGCAACACTGATGATTACTGACGTACAGCAGCGGTATCGGCGTAAAGAGGTTAGGAGAACGTTCTGGGAACCTTCAGAGAACTTTCTTTGAACGTTCTCGGAACATAAATAGAACGTTCCCTTTAGGTTAGGGGAACGTTCCCGTAACCTACCGAGAACGTTCTGGGAACGTTCCCAGAAGGTATCCCGGAACGTTCCCTTAACCTAAAGGGAACGTTCTATTTACGTTAAGAAAACTTTCCTGGCTAACCAACAGGGAACGTTCTTGGAACCAAAAACTAACGTTCTGGGAACCAAAAATTGTTAGCTGGGCTGTGCCTATGTCCCACCAAGCGCCAATATTAAGACAGCGGCTGAGCAAATAGCGTATTCTACACAGGCTATGCTCAGCAAGTATCCGGACGCTCCAGTATTACTTCTTGGTGATTTCAACAGCTGTCGGCTTGACTACGTACTACCAGCCTTCAAACAGTATGTAGATATACCAACAAGATTCCATACAACTATTGATGTGTGCTACAGTAATATCCCATAAGCCTATAAAGCCAGAGCTCTTCCGCCGCTGGGACTTGCGGATAATAATGTTATTCATTTACTTCCTGTTTACAAACAACGGCTGAAACAACACAAACCGATAATACACAGTGCCCCACAATGGTCGGAAGAGGCTATTGCACGCCTTCAAGGCTGCTCAGCGTGCACAGACTGGGAAGTTTTTGAGGGAGAGCTTGATGAGCAGACTTTGATTATATCATTGATTATATAAAATTCTGTATAGACACTCTGATACCGGCAAAGACTATTAAAACATATCCTAATTCAAAACCGTGGATCAATCCACAGATAAAACATCTCTTCTATAAGAAACAACTTGCCTTCTCTCAAAATTATAAACCGGGACATCAAAAGTGAAATATTCAAGGCTAAAAAGCATTATAAAAATAAACTGGAGCAGGATTTTGCAAACATGAACACTAAACAGGCTTTTCAACGTGTCAGGACTCTTACTGGACAATCTATTAAACGGACTACTTGTGTTTCAGATCCTATTACCTTCGCTACCAATCTTAATAATTTTTATGCCCGTTTTGACACCTCTGATTTTTCAGCAGAGTGTGACAGCCTTTTGGATTCCATGCCTCTTCAAGAGTTGGATTATGAGTCCCTCTTAACCAAGCAGGATGTCTATTTCCAGCTCATTAGATGCAAGCCGAATAAGGCTCTTGGGCCGGATGGAATTCCAGGTCGGGTCTTGAAAAACTCTGCCCTGGAATTAACTCCTATTCTTCATTCTCTTTTCCTTTGATCACTCTGCACTTCAAAAATACCAGTCATATGGAAATCATCAATTGTCATTCCTGTTCCTAAAAAATCACATCCATCAGAGTTAAATCATTACAGGCCAGTGTCGTTAACCTCAATCATAATGAAATGTTTTGAGAAATTGGTTCAAAATAGAATTTTTCCATATGTTTCACCATTTTTGGACTCTATTCAATTCGCATACAAGCAGAACAGAGGTACAGATGACGCAGTGGCTTGTCTTCTGCACTGTCTGCTTCAACACTTGGACATTACTGGAAATTATGCTAGACTTCTTTTTATTGACTTTTGCTCTGCCTTTAATTCAATTCAGCGTCATCAGGTAATCAAGAAATTACAGGGCTGGTCCATTTCTTTACATTCTCTATACGAATGATTGTCAGAGTCCATCTACTACTATTCATTATTTTAAATATGCAGATGACACAGCTATTCTTGTGTTGCTCAAAAACAGGGATAACGATTATTTTTTGGACTATCAACGTTCCATAACATATTTTAGCACATGGTGTGATGACAATTTTTTACATCTTAACATTTCAAAGACTAAAGAACTGGTTTTTAGCTCCTCCAAAACACAGATTCATCCCAGTATTGACATTAGATGGTTGAAAGAGTGGAGTATTTTAGATACCTTGGCATCACATTGGATGATCATCTCAGTTTTAATCAGCATATTTTAGGTATCCATAAAGGCTGTCAACAGAGACTTACAGTTCTCTTTAAACTTAAGCAGATATCTGTTCAGCCTCGTCTCCTTCTTCTCCTGTATCAGAGTATTATTGAGCCCATTCTTATGTATGGTGCCATTTGTTTTTTTTCATATGCTTATTGCTGCTAATAGGAACAAACTTTTAAAGATACCTCATTTGGCTAGTAGGATTATTGGTATTCCTACTCCAAAGATATCGGAGTGTGTTACTTCAACTATGATTCGGAAAGCACATATAATCCTAAATGACCCAGATCACCCACTCCATCTGTATTTTATTTTTCTCCCATCTGGCCGTAGGTACCCTTCAGACCTTGATTAGCTTGTTCGGGTGTGTTTGATTAGGGTTGAAGCAAAACTTTGCAGGGCTGCGCCTCTCCAGGACTGACGTTCGCCACCCCGGTATAGACTACCTATGTGTAGGAGGATTAACTTTAGTAAGAGTTTTGTTTCTACAGCAATACATGCTTTAAACACATAGGAAATTATCCATCGTCTTACAGTCTTGCATTTTTTTTTTGTGTGTGAATGTATTGTGACAAGTTTGTATGTACTTGTAAGGTACTTGTCCTTGTGTTGTATACGCACCTTCTGTGAAAAGGAATTTCCTCTCTGAGGACAAATAAAATGATCTATCTATATTTAATATATATTTAATATAATATAGATAATATTTTTTAATATACATTTTTTTATAATATATTAAAAATAATATAGTGTTATTTTTTTCTTTTTACTTTTTCTTTTTGCTGTATTTTAGTATATGTAGTATTTAATTGTGTATAATATATATATATATATATATAAATCATGAAATCATGTTTTATTTTCATATTAAAGTAAAAACTTTTTATTTTATTTTAACATGCCTCATTAAGAAAAATACAGTCTCTCATATCTCTTGAAAATATGATTTAATCATTTATTTTAAATTTCTTTAATGTGAATTATAATGTCACTTAAAGGGTTAGTTCACCCAAAAATGAAAATTAGCTTGTGTTTAACTCACCCTCGAAGCATCCTAGGTGTATATGACTTTCTTCTTTCAGACGAATCCAGTCGGAGTTATATAAAAAATTCGTTCCGGCGGAAGGCGTATGACATATGCGCAGCGCGCGCGCCTCTGAGATATGCTAGTCTTGCGAGTTTGTTTATAGGGGCAAAGGAAGCAAAGTTTCCTTACTTTAGCAAAGGAAAACCAGTCTCCTCTTGGCTTATATTGAAATCCTCCAACATTTTTCTTTGCAAAGCTTCTGTTTGTACTTCTAATTCGTGACCGGCGTTTTGTTTTGTTCTCTCTCCGCGCTCGTCACTAATCACGCAACGCCACGCGTCTTACGTCATCCGCCGGAACTGCTTCAGTGTATGACAGTCAGCAGAAGTGAGAGAAAAGTGTTTATTACGTTTAAAATATGGATATTTTTCTTGCAAAAACTCATGGATTCACTACAGGGGGCCTTTATTCATCCCCTGGAGCCGTGTGAGGCACGCTTTATTATGGATGCGTGCGCTTTATTTGACGACTTGTGGACTGTTCAACTGCAACACCCGCTGACTGCAATGATAGAGCTTGGAATAGCCAGGACAATTTTAATATAACTCTGACTGGATTCGTCAGAGACTGAAGTCATATACACCTAGGATGCTTCGAGGGTAAGTAAAACATGGCCTAATTTTCATTTTTGGGTGAACTAACCCTTTAAAGTGTCCTTCATGTTGTTCATGTGTTCTCCTCCAGGTTCTCGTGAAACTCTTGACATTCCACGCCTGCCTGACCCGTCTATGATTTACCCTTCAGCCCATCGCCGCAAACCTCCTCCTCCCATCCCCGTGCCAGAGCCAGACAGCCATACGGGCACACTAGAGCGTCCCAAAACCCTTGAGTTCGCTCCTCGCCCCCGACCAACCCCCGCTCGGGCACGTCCGGACCCCTGGAAACTGTCATCTCTGTCCCAGACGCTCAGTTCGTCTCCAGGTAGCAGCTGTGACAGTCCGCTGGGCTCGGGTGACAGCGGAGTGAGCGCTGGAGTGGGAGTCATCCATCAAAGCCTTCTCGACATGGACATGGAAGGCCAGAACAAGGACAGTACCATCCCCCTGTGCGGACAACACCCACAGGCCACTCTATGCGGTCAACATTTCTCATAGGAAGACAGACACCCCACCGTCTGGGCTGATGCACACTAACCAGCACTCTGTGGCCGTCGTGAGAGGTTTCCCCACAGTTTGCCCCGTGATCCCATCAGACCACGTTCTCTGGCAGCTCTAATGGAAAAGCTGCCCTCTGCAGTAGCTAGATAGTCACCTTCTGGACAGGTTAAGAGATAAATGACCTTGATTTTGTTTATCTCAGCCTGTCCACAATGACTCATTCTCTGGGAGTTTAATGGGCCTCATAACGGCTGAGAACGGTTGGTTAAACAGTGGCTTATTAGCGAGCAGGAGAGGGCAGTCTAACTACTGTAGGTCTGTGACATTCCTTGTTTGTCCATATCTATGTTATCATAGGGCAAGTCTCTCTTGCCTCTTCTTCTTCATCATGGTCTCCATGGGTACAACTTGTTTTTTGGCCTGGAAGAAAAATGCTAAGGTTTTTTTTCAACCTCATCCCCTCCAGTGTGTACATTGTAAAGTTCAGTGATGCTTTCTGTATTTACATTCAGGAGAATTGTGTGTGCCGTTAATTGCAATGACACAGGGAGCTCTCTTGCGAGTTGCATTCATTGTAATATATTGATACAATATAAAAATAGGTGTACCATAAGAATTTTATATTTTTCTTTTTTTTGGAAAAAAACAAACTACATCTCAAACTACTCTCTGCATGACCTAATCAGAATGTGAGAGCAGTCCAAACGTGAAATTAAACATGAGCAGATGCTTTCTCTCCATGTGTGGAGGTACTTGGCACTTTCCAAGGATAGGGTACACTTTTTTAAAAAACCATTAGAGGCATAAATCTCATGTTTTTGGTGAACTCATCATGAATTAAAGGCACAATATGTAAGATTTTTTTTATTAAAATATCCCAAAACCACTAGAACAGTGTTATATATTTTGCTGACTTGTGTACTTACATTATCCCAAATGTTTCGAAGAATGTTTAAATCCAGAGAAATAAGCAATTTTAACTAGTGACACGGCCCGTGTCCATAGTGTCATTGTGTCGCCTGCCAATGACGTTATAACCCCTCGATTTCCGGTTTTGTTTTGTAGAAAACATGGAAACACCAAAGACGCTTTAATATGCTATGCATTTTATTAGACAGGTGACGACCGCACAAAGTAGCATTATAACAGAACTAAATGTATCTAGTATGATAAAACAGCACTGCTTT